CCCCAAAACCCCAAAACCCCAAAACCCCAAAACCCCTTTATTCAATTTCTATATTGAGATAATAAATATGTATAGAACAAATAGTGAAGAAACCTCTGATGGAGGTGTCCGCCTCTATAATGAGAAAGTCATCTTCTTAGCAGGAGAAGACCTCTATATTCATGAGCCTAACAAAGGTAAGGAGGTGGTCATTAAAAGAGGAAAGACCGTCAAGTTTGATTTTGATGCTGAAAGGACCTACAACTCTTTTTGATGTGAATTCTGAGGAAAAATTAACCTCAAGCTGAATACTCTCAACTTTATACTGAAGAAGCACAGGGTAGCTATGCATAGAAATGTGAGAAGACCTTGAGAAATTACTGTGTTCATGTGTACAGAGACTATTCTGGAGAACAATCAATACCTTTCATCTTTGATCCATTTGTTCCAAGTTGGAGAGCACTCAGATTTGACTATCAAGATCAACAACGGGCTTGAGTTTAAAGTTCATAAATGTATATTAGCAGCTAGAAGTCCTAAACTAAAGGCAATGCTCACTTGTAACATGAAAGAATCGATGAAAGGAGTTCTAAACATTGAAAATGAAACTGAAGATTTTTCTGAACTTTTCAGTCATATGCTAGCATGGATATACACAGAAAAATGAGAATTCCCAGAGTCTCTCAACAATATGATCGATCTATTGTCTCTCACAGATGAATACATACTCGGGGATCTCCAAGCTGTCTGTGAGGATGAGGTTATTAAAAGACTTAATCATAAAAATGTAGTACAGATATTGACTGATGAAAAGATAATTTTACCTCCCTCATCTGAAAAGATTGTCAAAGAAGCAGCAAAAGAAGTTTTGCTCAATAAGTTCCCTGTAATCCTAGAAGAGAACCCCAACATTGAGAGTGATTTGATAAAAGTCCCTGGACTCTGGAGCAGCTTGCTTCTCAAAGCTACACAGTATCATGATTACAAAGCTTCAAGAAGAAGACTCTCCATAATGGATGAGAAGAGAGTGAGGTTTAAGATCTCCAACCATATATATGCCCCAACATTAGAAGGGGATAATGAGGCAGAAGGAGATACAGACTAAAACAAGAGTAATTACTTCAAAGAATTGGCTAAAACTGTTTACTTATTTTATGATTTTCTTCAGCTTGATACTCCTCATAGTTATCTCTTAAATTGAATTTATCCACTTTGTCTTTGAGGTTTGGTGAGTCTTCGTGCTTATATTGGACTGCCTACAGATATCATAGAATATTCTAGGACTATGAGAGAGAAAGCTTTTTAGATTATTTCATTAAATTTTTTTAGGCATACTCAACTAATAAATTAAACTGCATTCATTAAAGCATACCTTTTCCAAATCTTGTTGAGGAATCATAAATTTTTCTTCAAGAGCAAATTTTCTAGAAAGATTGTACTTTGGAAGCCCTCTTGTAGGAGATTTTCTGGCCTTTTTCTTAAAATTTTGAAGTCTTTGAGCAATTCTGAGGCTCTGGGGAATTATTTAATTTTCTTAAAGTCTGTGAAAATACTTTGCTATTCATATCAAACCCATGGTAAAGAGTCGTAGCTCTCTTCAATGCTATAGGTAAGGTTTCAGAAGGTTTTTGATCCAGAGGTAAATGAGATCCATGATACATGCTGAATCTCTTCTGGGATTTAAAGTCCATAGACTTTGATTTGTTTTCTAAATTCATCGAATCGCATCCCTTATCTTTCTCACTATCCTGGATAGAACCTTTGATGTTGGGGCTCTCTTTAATCATATTCTGAATTATAGAGTACAAATTTACACCTCTAACTTTATTCTTCTTTTCAGAGCTTTTGCTCATATACAAATTAACTTTCTTCTGAAGCGACTCAATTTCTTCTCGATATTTAGGAATTAGCTGCACTTCAGACTCTAATGACTCTATTAATTTTAAATCATTCTGTCTTTGAGCTTCTAACTTTTGGACCTTAACCTCAAAATGTTGTTCAAGTACTTTCTCTAGATTCTGAGCATTTGGTTTATCTTTATGAAAAGAGTTTTGATCAAAATCTGTATTATTTAGCTTGAAATTTTGGAAAAATCCTTCCTCTTTAGTTATTCTCTCAAGTTCCTGTATTCTATATCACAGAGAGGTGATTTCGGCATCTTTGTTTTCTAATTGCTTTTGGAATTCTTTCATCATTGATCAATAATTTTGCTTAATTTCATTCATTTCTTTGCCTAAATATATGTTATAAAGCATTGCTCAAATGCTATAACAATCTCTTAAGCTTTGAAATTCAAATTCAGGGCTTACGAAATTGAGCAAACATTTTTATTTTAACATATAATTTCTCTTATCTTACGTTGCTGGATTAATTTTTCCTTCATGGTATCACCAGTCTGAGAATCTCCATTTCCAATAGAATAGAGGAAATTCTGATGGCTCAGGTCGTCAACCTGGGCTTCTAACTGATCTACTTTACTTAATAAAGATTTAGTTAAAGTTTTATATTGTGATAGCTCTTTCTGAATGAGGGATTTGTCGACTCCAAAGGAGCGTAAATCAAATAATCTAACTGAAGCTAAGTCTTATGAGTTTTCAGCCTTCTTTAGGACATTTGAGCCACCCATTTTCTTATAAAATTGAGCATTTTGAGTGAATTTAAGAAAGTCAACTGAGCCATTAAGATCTTGGTTAGTAGGTCCGAAAGGAGTTTTGCTATTCTTAAGTCTCTGAGTAATAATCCTGGTGCTGTTCCTCAAAGGTGTGGTGAAGCCGCATTCTTTCTGGCTCTTCTTTATCTTCCTTTGAGAGGAGTTCAGCAAATTGGATTTCTGAGGGGTTCTTGTAAAATCAAACGATTTATTATGTCTTTTTCAGTTCTTAAGTCTCTTTTTCGTTTTAATTTTTGGCTTTCAAAGGTCCGGTCTTGATATAATGTTGAAAAAATGGTCAGTTTTAACCACCTGTTGGACACTTTTTGTATTTGGAGTAACCTTCATTGGAGTTTTAGTCTCTTTCTTATTAATATTAATCTTAAAAGCTGGGAAGTTAGTTTCCATGACTAAGCAGATTGCCTTAAAATACAAAATTTAATTCTCTCAATATCAATGTTTTCAGAGGGGTTTTGGGGTTTTGGGGTTTTGGGGTTTTGGGG